TAACTTCGCCAAAGCTTATCCATTCTGACAACAAGTCATATCATGTCTACTCAAAGATCATGCGTCATCACGCCGCTTATCAGCCCACGTCCCATCAATCGCTCCTCAAATCGAGGTCGAAGTAATCTTCCTCCTGTCGCCAGCCAACACATATAGAGCAAAGGATGACTCACCTTCCATCTCATATTTTGTCACCGCCATTTGCATGGCCAAAGTGACCAATCTGCCCTTAACATCCTCTTTATATGCAGATGCTATTTGCCATAGCTAAGAGGGGAGAGGTTCGCAATCTAAACTCTCCTTCTGACATAAATCTCAGAGATCATCATCTCTAATACACATAGCATAAGGACATATAGTTCTATTGCTCTACTCAAGCTCAAGTTTATCAACTGACTTGATCGTCGGAGGTACCATGGGGGAATCATCACCCCCACCTTCTCACGACTTCTTTTGTGTAGATTGTAAACTCTAACTCAGTGGCCAAATATAAAGTCGAGAAAGAAAGAGATCCCCTCCATCATCCTTCATTATCCCGCAACCATCCTCTTCTGGATTAATATTCTGTGTGATATCGAGCATCAACACTTACAGCTTAGAGCATAAAAGTGTTGCATTTACAATTAAAAATATTTAAGTGTAAATTTGATAAAACAATAGGTATTTAAGTGTTAATTTTTTATAATTTAGGGTATTAAAGTGCTTTTTTTACAACTTAAGGTATCAAAGTGTTACTTTTTATAACTTAGGCTATTTAAGTGTGAATTTGATAAAACAATAAGGCACTTAAGTGTCATTTAGCCTTAAATATATGAAGTGTTGTTGGCAAGGGCCATAATTTGGCGACTGAAAACACTAAATTCGAACAAGGACTGGAAGGAGAAGTTCATCTGGGTCGTGGAGAACGACTTGGACCTAGGTTATTCGAACTGGTCCGAGATAAGGAGAGAAGCGCTAATGGCCGACGATCTGTCTGACGCCGAGAGAGAGGCTCTGACCAAATCAAGGCATATGCTGGCTCTCGCCGGGTGGAGCATCTGGTTAACAACTCGGTCTTGCGAGTTGCCAACATATCTATGGTGCCTCCCTCCTCCAAGGACCAAGAGAGAGATTCAGCCTTGATCCTAGGGACAGCAGAAGCGACGATGGTGAGCTTGTACTTGCCCACCATTTGGAAGTGGTAATAGGGCTCGGTCTGGTTTACTTTGACACTCATCAGGCATCCAATGACTCTCAAAGATGGCTTTATCACCAGCCAATGGCAGATCACTACGAACCCAACCAGGTTCACGATGGCGTTTGGCTTTATCTATGCTGGTGATACCCCCAGAGCCGTGAAGACTCGCTGTAGGAAAGGATGTAAGGGCAATCACCAACCAAACTCTAAATGCCTCAAATACAGTGGAATCCGATCTGGTCCATGGTCATAAATAGCCTCCGACCTCATCAACACCATCAGTTCATACTCTCGGGGGGTATCAACTCTCCCATGGAGCATCCTCATCTTCGTTTGGGTCACTTTGGAGTAGAACTCCGTCGATAAAGCCTGACTAACTATGGGATCAGAGGCCATTGTAGATGGGTGAGTAATCGCTGGAGAAGACAGACAGAAAAGATCTCGAGCTCTCAAAAGGAATTTCAAAGATCAATAATCGCCTTTCTCCTAGCCCTAGCCTTATATATAGACAGCATAATACACGAATACCAGAATCTAAACGGTCGGATCAGAATTTGGCCAACGGTCAAGATTAACCCTCAGAATCCAAAGTGGCATCTCCGGGATAAAGGCATAGCCCACCAACCTCGAATAACCCATGATCTGACACGAAAAGCGGGGTTGCGGCAGTAAAAAATGTGTGGTGACGTCGGCCACGTTAAATCTGAAAAGACTTTTTAGTTCTCCTAGCTAATGCACGTCTGCATCCATCCAAAGCTATTCTCATTTCACTCAGACCCGGCCCAAGCCGACTCCAAGTGAAAGGGGTCAACTGTTATGGTGTTTTCAGTCGCCAAATTATATGGCCCCTTGCCAACAACAAGCGAATATCCCCCGCCACACACCATTCAGTCAACTCGACACTTAGGACAGCCAGAGTCGACCTAGCTGACTCGCTGAATCGACATTGAAAGTACCCTAGAGGGGGGTGTATAGGGTAATTGCTAATCTAATCCGATATCGATGCCAAATTAAAACTTATTAACAATATCCTAGCAATAGTAATTGCTAATCTAATCCGATATCGATGCCAAATTAAAACTTATTAACAATATCCTAGCAATATGATATACACAAGTGATATATGCAGATATCGATGCCAAATTAAAACTTATTAACAATATCCTAGCAATATGATATACACAAGTGATATATGCAAAGATGTATAATTAAACAATGGGCAGTATAAACTATGAGACAATGGCGTTATAGAGATATGATAAACAATGAGCACATGAATAATATACCAAGGCAATTGCAAACAATAAATATGATCACGGAGTTCGGTCCACTCGACCTACGTCTCCGCTCCTCACCTCGAGGAGATTCTCCACTATCAACACAATAACTACCAGAGGCGTGGCTGACAATTTGAGGGCCCGGTTCTAAATTTTAATCAGGGCCTCTTAATCAATCTTCAGAAGAAACTAATAATTATTTTTGTACGTAGTACTAACCATGAAAAGAAATTTTAATATCTAGAATTAAAATAAACATTAAGACATAACAATGGCTCTATACAAAAGATATTACGTGCAAAAAATTGATAGTAAAAAAAAGATACACAAAATCAACATCTTACTAATAATATTGACATGTCCGACATCAAAAACTTCACTGGAAAATTTTTTTCCTTACATTTTTTTTTGCAAAGTCATCAATCAAAGCTTCATAATCAATCTTGTCTAAAAATCCACTTTCAACTGAGAGCAAAGCCAGTCCGTTTAGCCTCTCCTGCGACATGGTTGATCTCAAGTATGATTTTGATATCTTTAACTTTGAGAAGCTCCTTTCTGCCGATGCAACCATGGCAGGTATAGTCAACAAGATTCTATATGCAATGCTAGCGGCTGGAAAACAATTCATCCTCTTCAAGAAATTCAATACGTCAATGACTTTTATATTTTCTGATGGCAACATATTTTGTAAGATTAGCAACTCTGCAAATAATTCATCTCCGTCAACATCAGAACAACTTCCTTTCTTAAGACCGTTTGCAAGATTAGCACAACAAGCTTTTAAATCATCATTTTGATATGCACATAACTTTTTCGGTCTAAATAAAACCCAAAAATATTCTCGTATGTCTGATACTGTTCAAATCTTCTCTCTAATAAACCAATAATTTGATAAACCAATAATTTGATCAACCAATAATAGAAAATAATGAACTCTGAAATTTTCCTTACTCGACTGCTGAGTTAACTCTGATGACTAAGCTCCAACATCATCAAAATGTCTTTTTCTAAAGATTTTTCGCTTCTCAAGAAATACTGGATCAACTCCCAAATCAGCAGCAAGTGTTTTGGCAGTAATCATGGCCTCTGTAAACCCAATTTCTCTATACTTTCTGAAAGAAACAATCAAGCCATTTACTAATTCTATAACAACATCAATTGTAAAGTCTTTCTCTTGCAAACGCTTACTAACCTTGTTAACAGTCACCAATATCTTATACCAAATAGTCATGCCTAATAAAAATACAAAATACCCAAGCTCGTACTTTGCTAAAGATTTAGCTTCACTTCTTATTTTTGTGTCTTTGTCATTAATTTTCTGCTAATTGAAGTAAAGCTTGTGTGATATGTAGAGGTTGTGATTGAATTGCCTAAACATTTTTAACACGACTTTCCCAACGTGCGGTCGATAATGGCTTGAGAGTAACTCCTATAAGATTATCCATCAAAATTTTCCAATGTTTTGTAGAATTTGTGAACAAGGAATAAATTCGTTGTACTAATCCAAAGAAATCCTGAGCTTTGACGTTACAATTTGCTATATCACAAAGGGTTAAGGCTATGACAAGCAAATGGAGTGTAAAATGTTCTTGGATTAATATTCAGAAGTCTACTCTGTACACCTTACTTATGCCCTTTCATATTCGATCCATTATCATATCCGTGTCCTCGAACATTATCAATATTAAGACCAAGACCCGTTAGAGCCATCTGCAACTCCTCAAAAAGTCCAAAGCCACTTGTGTCATCCACATTCAAAAATTGTATGAAATACTCATCCACTTTAACTAGACTAGCAGTGACATCCACACATCTCAAAATCAGAGTCATCTTATCTTGGTGACTAATATCAGGAGTACAATCAAGTATAACAGAAACGTATTTAGCTTCTCTAACCGGAGATATGATTGCACCTCGGATTTCAGAAGATATCATGAGTATCAACTCATTTTGATAACATTACTTAGATAATGATAACAAATCTGCTTATTCTGAATGCGACGAAGATGTTCCTCCATCACTTTATCATGCTCTGCCACCATCTGAACTAATTACATAAAATTTCCATTGCTTTCTTTATGAATCCTCTGATTTTTGCCCCGAAAATCCAATTGTATTTAGCAAGATATTTCACAATTAAAATCAACCTTCGTAACAGTTTTCTCCAATGCTCCTTCTCTTTCATGATATGATCTTGGAAAATTTTGTCAATTGTCTGACCCTTTTCCAACCTAAGATGCAACTCAATCCAAGTAGCCATGTTATGAATATGCGCCTTACTAACTTCATGTTCATTAAGTCGCACACCCACATGTGACCAATCATTATATCCTTCATTTGCTAGCTGAGTTATCATAGGCTTTTTCTTAAACAACTTACAATAAAAACAAAATGTTTTATCAATCTCCTTGTAGTATACAAGCCATATCCTATCAGATGTCTCTCCATTATGTATGTGTCGAGTGTATAATCCTGAAGTAAAGCTTTTATTCAATCTATCTTTAGGATCTTTTTTATCGACAGGTCTCTTACGGGACCTTTTACAGCTAACAGATCTCTCCATTTATCATCCAGACTATCCAAACTCTAGGATCATAAAGGTTCGCTAGAACTTGCTCACTTGGTTCCTCAATTAAGTCATAAAGAACTGTATCCAAATTCTCATTAAGCCCTTCTTCATCAGATTCGGTATCACCATTCTCATTGTGATTCATACCATCAACATCTGCATTGCCATCATTCTCATTAGGACTTGGATCATCACCGTGATTTTCATCAAGTCCCCCAACTTCAATCATATCCTCATTATCATTGCCATCATCTTCATCAACTAAATCTTCAGTTGAAATAATTGGATGTTCTCTGACAAAGAACCTGTCAAGAGCACCTCGTTGTGATCGAGTCAATTGTTCCTCCTCCTTTTTTTGTTTCCTCTTCAAACATCCAGATTTGTACTTTCTAGGTGGCATTATTTCCAATCTTGAACAAAAAAATAAAATAAAATAGGAAACAATCAACAAAACAACCAAATTTAAAAAATCAATTTGATAAAGGTTAACCATAATCAAATTCAATCGATCCGACATTGATTTAATTTTATAATACTAGGTTAAAAAATGATTTAATACTACTCCCATCAACTAAAAAGCTATTTAGCCATAATGTTTAAGTATTTTCTGATAAAATTGAATTAACCACAAATAACAAGAGAACGAGCTTACCACTAAGACCTGGAACAACACTAGTGGCAGCAAGGGCACGACGTACAGAGGGTCTTGCTTTTGCATTCTTGATGAAAAAACTTCTACCTATTTCAAAGAAAACAGTGACAAATTCATCTCTTTTAAAATTCTTCTTTCATTTGATTTTATTGCAAGATTCTAAATTACATAGAAATCAAGAACAATTTCAACTAAAAAATCAGTAAAATATATAAAATTAAATAGAGAAACAAAAAAGGGAGATAAATTAAAATTGGGGATATATACCTATTACCTAATACCCACTGCCTCAACTGCTCAACATCAGAAAGAGGAGGGGAAGTTAGTTGCTGGTTGAAGCTTTTCTACAAGAAATTGAAGAATCTTTAATTCTTGATGAAGTGCTAAGTAGCTGAATCTTTTCTACAAGAGGGAAGTCGAATTTAGCCCTAATTTGATGAGATATATGAGCGAAAAATCGAAGAAAAAGGAAAAAGAAAAAACCTAAATTTCACTGCCGCTCGACCTAGGTTCTCCGCTTGCAGGAGACATGGTCGCGTGGTCCCTCAATTATATGACGCAAATTTATATTTTAACCCCCATACATTACATTTTTGCCCTATTCTGCGAAACCGGAAGAACCGGTTCACCGACGCCTCTAATAACTACACAATCAATTTTCAAAGCTCACCGAAAACTTTTACATCTCACACGTTGATAATCACACAATACACTTCTCTAAGTGTTAACCGACCTGTGTCACATTCCTTAAATGTTTAGATTTATCACCTCTCCCTAAGCTTTACTACCAACCCACTTCTCTTGGAATTGACCCCGTTCTTCTCCTAACCACTCCTCTAAGTGTCCTTGTGTATTATAACATGTTCTCAACAATAAGCTCAAGTAAATGATTTTGTTCTCTAATACAAATGAGAACTAAAATAAAAGCTCACTCAATTGTTACACTCTCACAACCCAAAAATATACAATATGTGAAATAACTTAAGCTCAAGTGGTTGTTGTAGGCATCTAAAATTGCCTACAAGGTCCCGCACGCAGCTTGAAATGAAGAGTGGACGCATCAAGAAGGATTATCCAATTGGTCGCTGCGCACATCAGTCAACACGCGCACGTCAGTCAGCTCGCGCGTGTCAATCAGCTCACACGCGTCAATCAGCTCGCACGCGTCAATCAACACGCACGCGTCAATCAACACATATGCGTCGATCAACTCCAAGCGACCGAATGCACTCGTCAGTCAACTTGCGCTTGTCGGTCAGATCCAAAGTGCCCGACGTGCTTATCGGTCAGTTCCAAGTGTCGTAAAGAAGCTAACGAGTGCATGAAGCAAGTTAGCAAATCGTACAAGTCAACAAGACGGTCAAATACACAAAACGGTGGAAAATATAAGTTTCGGAAAAGTCAGAAAACACAAAGTTCAGCAAAAGGCCAAACTACCCGTGCCCGCGCGGGACGGACGAATCCGACCCTCGCCCGCGTGGGTCGGCCAAGTCTGACCCGCGCCCGCGCGGGTCGGACCGCGCCGACCCGCGCCCCCCGCGGGTCAGCAGTGCCTGTCATGCTGTTTTGACCCACTGACGTGTTTTCGACGGTTTTGAGCTGTTTTCTTGGGATTTATCTGTTCCAGGGGTTCCTAACTACCTAAATATCATCTACAAATGTGGTTAGACCATTATTAACTGAAGATATGGCCAAATCCATCATTTTTATCCGAAAACCCCCAACCGAGGCCTATAAATACAGGCCTAGGGGCTCAATTCACAGGGGAGGAATTATTATCAAGACGAGGAGTTGCTACTGGATCGAGGAGTCAAGGGAGCACGAATTTCAGAGAAGGCTAACTGATCTCGGTGAAGTTCTTCAGCATAAAGAGGGAGAGTTCGAGAGATCCGAAGCCCCGTCTGCCGTTCCTCGATATTAGGTTCGGTCTTAATCTCGAGAAGAGCTACTGATTTCGCTTGGTCGATTTTAGCGCTTTAAGCGATTACTTCCTCTGTGAAGTAGGAGTTCTGTCAATTTTCTGTCAACCGGATCCGATCCGAGACGGTCTATGGAAAAACCCCGGCACAGGCAAAGATCCCACGTAAAGCAATAGGAGATAAACACCTGTTACGTGTTGTTTGAAAGAGAGTTGTAATCTATTTTCATTGTATTGAAAGTCTTATAAAAAGACTATCTTTGTTTTGAATTTATTGTAATGCCCAAAGTTGTAATGAATTCAACAATAAAAATAATTTTCTACCCAAACAGTTGTGTGTGAAAAGAATGAGTAATAATGAAACTAAACTCAAATTTAATCTAGCAAAAAATATATAAGAATCAAAATAAGAACAAGCTAGATAAATAAGTTTAGGAAACTTTTCTGATGAAAACAAAGAGCTGTAGATGATGATTGAGGTTGAACTCTTCAAAAATAAAATTTTGATTCTCCTTTTTGTAAACTCTTTTTGCAAACTCTTTTTGCAAACAAACAAACACTTAAACTCTTTAAAAACGTGTAGTCAAAATGGCTTAAACAAACTGATGAAACTCTTGAAAAACTTAGCTCAAAAAATGAGCATTGAGGGGTATTTATAACCTCTCAAAGAAAATCTGCCAAAACTAGCCGTTATAGCAAAATAGCATCATCAATCGACTGCTAACATAGATCGATCGACTGATAATATGACCGTTGACAGAACTGGCAAAATAAATGAACTATAGGTCGACTGATAACACTCTGTTCAGTCGACTGATAAAGATCGGTCGACTGAGCAAAAACAAAATTGAAATTACAGAGTAGTTTTATCGGTTGACTGATATGAACAGTCGGTCGACCAAAAACGTGCACAACACATTTTCTGCTAAAAAATTAATTTTGTAAAATCAATTAAAAATAACAAATTAACTCCAAAATTTATAAAACTTGGGGAAATATTTATATTCATGAAAAAAAACATGTTAAAGAATTTTTTTTTTTAAAATAGCATTTCCCATTTGGGAAAACTTATCGCTTTGCAAATTCTCAAAAATATGAGTTCATTTAAACACTTGATTTTGTCAAAATGATTTCAACCAAAATTTGGAATCCTTTTTAGTGGATTAATAGACTTTGGAAATGATGTAATATGGTATTGTTCAGTCTATAATCCAAAAACTCAAAATATAAAATAATACGTGTGTGTATATGAATTTGAGCTCTAAGCATAACACATAAAGTATAAACCTAAAACATTATACCCAAGCAATAGATCTTCAATTTAGCTCGTCTTGATTACGGATGAAGTGATGATGAATCTTGACTTGAATTGCGACGGCTTCATTCCGATTTCCGCCAACCTCCATTAGGATGTCATCGTTAAGTTTAATTCTAACCAACCTCCGACAAGGATCTTTGTGTAGGATACCTAACAATCAAATACAAATACTCGACAAACGATGTTAGGAATTGTTTGTTAATCATCAAAACCAGATTAGACAATAAGCTCATAAACATGAGACCTAGCAGACATCTCACTAGGTCGACTCAAATGGCGATACTTGTCGATCCTCTCATTAGAGGCGACTCACTATGAATCCACTCAACCGGTTAATTAGATGGCGTCTCGCTGAGTCGACTCGAAAGGTGTTACTTCTCGGTACCTCTTTCATACCAGTCAAAAGGCAACTTTGACCTCAGACCCCTCGTTGATAGCGCGTTGGCATCACATTAAATGCTTGGAAGACGCCATCATTTCTCCATCCCGATACTATTTATGACACATCGGACCACGTCGGCTTCGTGTGCCACCTATCCCGTCTCATTAATGCCGAAATGATAGCACCAATTCCGCAACCACTCCACAGTTGACGCGCATAAAGTCGACGTTGACTCAGCCGTCGGCTCAGACTCGGTGGGGAAAGACTAGAATGCCCCTCCTGCATGATTATAAGAAAGACGACCATTCCCAATATGAAGGTAAGCCATTTTCTCGTAATTTTTCTCCACTCTACTACACTTAAGAACTCGCACAATTCACCACTTTCCCACTCAAGTACATTATTGACTTGATTGTCAGAGGAATAACAGGGGAACTAGTCCCCATCCTCTTACTAGTTATTACGCGTACAGGGAAGAACAGCTCACCCCAAAAACCAGATTTTCAGAATAGTTTAGCGGCCCCTACTCAATCTCACCCCCACTTCATCATCTATGTGATTATTAACATCAACATGAAGGAAAATGAACTTTATAAAGTTTGTGGGTCTCTTTTGCAACTCTCCAAAAACGATTAGGTTTGAATCTAGTTTAGTTTTAAACTGCTTTATTGATTGATAAAATTTGATCTAGAAGTGGACTGGATTACTTTAGGTTATTTATTGTTCTCTAAACTAATTTAGTTATGGATTAACAGGAGTTGGTCCACAATTAATCACCTTTTTCTAAACCCAATTTTAGGAACAAGTGTGGACATATTTTAGTGTGTTGTCAAATACAGGCTCATAGAAGTCTTCATCTTAAATATATTTAGATTTTCTAAAGGAAGTTGTTCCACTATAACTCTAGTTGTAAAAAATGAAGTATCCATTTGTAAAACTACATGTACATGTCTTTCATTGTGAAAATCTACGATCTAAAGGATTTTTATGTTTGAAAATTTTCATTCTTTATGGAGCAATATAATTAATTATGTACTTTTTTCTGATTTTTTTACTCATGAGGATTGACGCACGAAGGAAATATGCATTGCACATAATAGTAAGAGCAAGTCAATAATTTTTTTAACAAAACTTAGAAAGTGAATTAGGTGCAAAACAAGCTATATGGAATTGGTTTATCAAAACGTGGAACCATCCTTATGTACTGCTATATAGCACTACTACTTGTTACCCATTGGATGCACAAGATTAAATCAAAATTCCTTTATGCATATTAGACCTTTGGGTAAAGAGAGAAGATAAAAAAAAATTGTGAAGAAAAATAAAATAAAATGAATGAGGTATGGGAAATTGAAATTTAGAAAAACATATATAGGAATTTCTAAGGCGTGGCAAGTAGTGGATTAAGATAAGACAGTGAAAAAATTAATTATTAGCTATTAAATGCTAAAACTCTTAGAATTTAGGAAAAATTGCTTCAAGGCCCCAAAATCCAAAAAGTCATATGACCCAGCCCCTCATACTTTTGGTTATGTGCTGCAGCCCCAAAAATGAAAATTCTATGTGATTCAGTCCTTGTTACAATTTCCAAGAAAATAAATCCCCAAACTACCCCTCTTCTTCTTTTCTAGATCTTCTTCTTCTCCAGATCTTCTCCTTCTTCCTCCTCTTGCTCCGCTCTTCTTCGTCTCGTCCAACTCCACTCCCTCTCTCTCAAACTCCAGCGCCGCCTCATAAGGTGTTATCACCTCCCTCAACGCCGCAGCCGCCGCCGTCGCCGCTCCAGCACCCGTCGTGCCCCTCCTCAACATTTCGGGTCATCCTCCACAGCCTCCTCAACTCCGCCACCACCGCCACATCGGTCACCCTCATCTTGTCGGGTTCAGTTCTTCATTTAATTTCATGTTTTTTTTGTTTAATTAGTTGAGTTAGAGAAGGAGATCTCGTGTTATGTCCTGTTATCCAACAAAACCCATGACCGCATTGCCTTCAAGGTATTTCTCATTGATTTTCCAGTTAAATTCAATAAATAAATAAATATTAAAAAGAGGGGAAAAGATTGATTGTTTTGGGTTTTTTTGGCTTGTTTTAGGTGTCCACCTGGAATTGCACAATGTGGCCCAACAGAGAGATCCTCTTGTCACAATCCACATCCTCCCCAGACTTCAGATTAGTTGCATCAAGATGAAAATGAGTATCAGTGTATTGTGAAGTTATGGATTATTACACTAATGTAATTCCATCTGGGCCTTTTCCTTAATCTGGTGCCTTAGTAGGCACAATGTTATTTGGCTTTCATCTTGCCTTGAACGTAGATGTAATAGCTAAATACTTTTGTATGTATGTAGTAACTGTGTATATGAACTGAAATACTTTTGTAGGGATGTGAACTATAATGAAAATGTGATATAAAATTGATGCACAAATTTGTCCTATTAACTATTTAAATACTTATATAAGTCATTAACTATTGAAATACTTTTGTTAGCTTGTTAAGTTACTCTGTTAGATTGTTAAGTTACACAAGTAACATGTTAACTTTTTTTGATAGCTTGTTAAGTTACACAGATAAAATGTTAACTTTCACAGGTAGATTGTTAAGTTACACATGTAACATGTTAATTTTTATTAGTAGTTTGTTAAGTTACACAGATAACATGTTAAAGCTTCAGGCTTCCTTTCAACGGATAAAGCATCACAAAGAGCTTGCTTTGCCATTTAGATGTCAGTTTGAAGTCTCCTCTCCCATTGGCATGAACCTGAATATAGTTAACAAGCACCGTAAAATAGTTAACATGAACCTGAATATAGTTAACAAGCACCTTAAAATAGTTAACATGAACCTGAATATAGTTAACAAGCACCTTAAATAATTAACATGAACCTGAATATAGTTAACAAGCACCTTAAAATAGTTAACATGAACCTGAATATAGTTAACAAGCACCTTAAAATAGTTAACATGAACCTGAATATAGTTAACAAGCACCGTAAAATAGTTAACATGAACCTGAATATAGTTAACAAGCACCTTAAAATAGTTAACATGAACCTGAATATAGTTAACAAGCACCTTAAAATAGTTAACATGAACCTGAATATAGTTAACAAGCACCTTAAAATAGTTAACATGAACCTGAATATAGTTAACAAGCACCGTAAAATAGTTAACATGAACCTGAATATAGTTAACAAGCACCGTAAAATAGTTAACATGAACCTGAATATAGTTAACAAGCACCTTAAAATAGTTAACATGAACCTGAATATAGTTAACAAGCACCTTAAAATAGTTAACATGAACTAACATGAACCTGAATATAGTTAACAAGAACCCTCAAATAGTTAACATGAACCTGAATATAGTTAACAAGAACCCTCAAATAGTTAACATGAACCTGAATATAGTTAACAAGCACCGTAAAATAGTTAACATTTTAAGAGCCTCCTCGCCTTCTTCTTTTCTTGCATATCTAGCAATTAGAGCATTCCATGAGATTTTGTTCTTGGAATCCAACCGATCAAACACAAAACAAGGCTCATCCATCTTCCCAAAACGTGCATACATATCCAACAATGAACTCCCAACAAACACATTCAAGTTGCAAGAATATTTAACACTTAAAGCATGAATTTGTTCCCCAATTCCAACATTTGCAGCAGAACCAGTGGCCTTCAAAAGGCTCGCAAAAGTAAACTCGTTAGGTTTCAATTCAAGTACGAGCATTTTAGGAAGCAACTCCAATGCCTCTTTAGGATGATCATTCTGTGAGTAACCAGTTATAAGCGCAGCCGTGTTGACCACATCTTTAACAGGCATTTCATCAAACGCTTTGTGGGCATTGATCAAGCACCCACATTTGTAGTACATATTAATGACTAAAATTTGGAAGAAAGGGTTGCCTTGAATCTAGAACTCATGACCTGTAGTTGATCAGCCTGTGCTCGCCTCCCACGATCCTAAAACTCATGACCTTCTTCTTGTCGTCGAAGATTTCGAGGCGCTTGGTGCTGCTGACGGCGGGGATGCTGGAGATGAGGCGGACCTCGCGGAGGCAGTCGGCGACGAGGGAGGAGTCGCCGTCGAGGAGGCGGAAGGACTTGACGAAGCGCTTGTAGGACTGGGGGGAGTCGAAGCGGCGGAGGAAGGAGACAGAGGAGGGAGGAAGGAGATGGAGAAGGAAGAGGAGGAAGAAGTGTGATTTGGGGGGGAAGATGACAGTGATTTTGGGAGGGGTAAAATTGGGTTTTTTAGGAAAACATGAGCTGGAGTCATGATAGAGGGGTTTGGACAAAAAAAATTCAAAATTTTGGGGCTGCAACACATAACCAAAAGTATGAGGGGCTGGGTCACATGACTTTTTGGATTTTGGGGCCTTGAAGCAATTTTTCCTAGAATTTATGAAGTGGTAAAAATATGCAACTAAGAATTTTAGAGTTTTACTTTATTAGTATAGTATTGATAGTAAGGGATGGCAAAAAATATAGGGTGGTGTTACAGGGATCCAAAAACATGGGACCCTACATGGGACATGTGATGAAGAGTACATCATGGGACATAAAGCCGACACCTCACCTGTCTCATGTAAGGTTCCATGTTTTTGGGTCATTGTTGCACCATCCTTTTTCCGAAAATATAATATGCAACATGGTAGCAGTGGGTCCCAATGGTCAGGTCCGTGAGAGAGCAAGGACAAAAACAGCTCGAAGGAATGATTCGAGCATGTGAATGGCCTAAGATGGGAAGCAGACGTACATACTTTACATGCTATGGCCGATTGTTGTACGTGGAACCTGATTTATATGTAAAATTCATAGAACTGGAATTCAAAATTAAACACCCTGCAGACGGTAGGGGAGGGGGTGATAACCCCGCCGGCAGTCCTGAAACTTATTGTATAAATACGTATATTTGGCTGTCTGATCCGTATCCTCTTCCATTGGACGATAATTGACGAGGACTCAATTAGTCCAATCCTTATTGTCCATTCAAATTTTAAGGAATGAGATAAAAGTCACATAAGATATATATGTTTATAAATGCTGGGTAGGAAATTAAACTCTTACATTTATAAAGGACATTTTAAACTAATTAAACACCCATTACACACACGCTCGCGTACACGCACCCACACACAAACAGTGGCACCTTAGGTTCAATCTATATTACAATAAATGATCCGCTCTCTTCATCATGATCGCAAAGTCACAAAACATCTATAAAACAAAAATCATGACGATTAAATACTTCTAGCACATATTTTTTTATTGTCTCTTTAGTTATATTGTTGTAAAACCGTTAATTTTATAATCACTTGATTTAATCTAAGGTAGCGCCTCTTGATTCATGAATTATGCTATTCCAATTGATAATCCGTTCCATTCATCATGATTTTAAAGTCACAAAATATCTATAAAACAAATTAAAGTCATGATGATTAAATGCTTCTAGGACATATTTTTCATTATCTCTTTAGTTCTATTATCGTAAAGCCGTTAATTTTACAATCACTTCATGTATGAGTAACTACAAACCAATATGAATAATTTTTTATTTATATACAATTCAAAACATATAAATCAAAATAAATGATGTAGATCAAGTACTTTGATAACATATAATGTAGTTTTGAATGCGCTACCCTGAATTGAATTTAAGGTACCATCTTATTAATACTTTTCCTATACACATATATATATACACACACATTATGTGTGTGTATATACACATAAAACAAAGGAAATGTGAGCAAGATGCTTTACTATGTGGAGATGAATAAATTGTGTATTGACCCGAGGTACTTTGGATTCTTTTAGTCTTGTGGCAGGATCCCTGCAATTTCCCAGTAAAAAGCCCCACTTGATGCACACAAGTCCGTTTTCTTTCTTTTTAGTTTTCCCCCTTTCGCTCTTCTTTAGATCACTTATGATGTTGCAGACCAGATTCTAACATGGAAGACAGACAAAAGTTATTTTACTCCATAACGTGATCTTGTGGAATAATCAAATGGACTGTGCTTTGACTGTTTGTCATGCTGAAAAGGAAGAAAGTGATTAGGTACTGATGAAAGAAGAAGAAAATTTTGATTTAAACCCGTTCCCACTTTTTATTTTAAAAACCGACCAACTCCCTTTTTATTTACAAGGATCGACCCACTTCTCGGCCACGTCGGGTCGATTTTTTTTAATCTCATCGCTAAATAGTCGGGGTTGCCAACCACGACTATTTTTACAATAGCAAAATTAGTCGGGGTTGGCAACCCGGACTATTTAGCAACGAGATTAAAAAAAATCGACCCACTTCGTAGCCACGTTGCTGACGTGGCCGAGAAGTGGGTCGATCGCTGAAAATAAAAAGAATGTCGGTCGGTTTTTTTTTAAAAAAAGTTGGATTGGGTTTAAAACAAAAAATTATTTGATAAAAGAAATCTAACTGTGGATATGGTCCATTAAGAAGTTTTTCAATAAAGAGTGCAATTCTACGTGTATTTAGTAGATTAAGCTACCAAGAGATGCGGTTATAAAATCAAAACCTTCTTATATGAATAGCAGAACGATCTTCTGAGGGGCTGTTTGCTTGCCAAAAAAAAAAGAAGGAAATCAAGGAATAGGAAACATATTTCCTTAAAAAATTGTTTTATGGTTGTTTGGTTGGTTAAAAAAAGAAGGAAATCAAATAATAGGAGATGAGTTGTCACAATATTATTGGATGATGTGGGTATTTTTTTTAAGAAAAGTTGTTTTGAGGTTGTTTGGTTGGTTAAAAAAGAAGGAAATCAAAGAATAGGAAACATATTTCTTATAAATAGGTTCTTCTCTTGTGTTTGGTTCATTCTTAAAAATAGGAGATGAGATGAGATGAGATGAGTTGTCATTATATTATTGGATGATGTGACCCACACTTAAGGAAATCAATTTCCTTGTTTTTTTGGGGGCTGTTTGGTTCATTTCCAAAAAATTATGGAAATGGATTCCCACACAAGAAACCAATTCTGTAAAAATTTTAGGATATTAAAGGAATCCAAATCTTTTGTTTGATATGGAAGGATAAAATAAATAATAGGAAATGGTATCCAAAACTGAAGTTTGTTTCACCCCTAAAAAATCGGAAAAGCACATGCAAAGAAAGCTGAGAAGCTGAGTTGGCACCCTCATTTCCAAAAAAAGAGCCCATTTCCGAGCTTTTAGACAGGAATTGGCTGTTCCAAAAAAAGACACTATTTGACAAGGTTTTAGGAAACCATTTCTTAAAAAAAATGGAACAAACACAGTTTTTGGATTTCTTAAACCACAAAAATGTTGCTTTTTGTTCCAAAAACCGGGTTTTCCAAAAAAACACCCTCAAACAAACACGCCTTGGAGGAAATGGGTGGAGATGAAATGGAGATGAGATGAGATGAGTTGTCACAATATTATTGGATGATGTGGGTGATTTTTAAAGATGAGATGGGATGGAGATGGGATGAGTTGGATGATGTGACCCTTTTCTTTTATTTGGTTTATTTTATTGGATGATATGAGATGAGTTGTTGGATGAAAATAATATTTTATTAGATGATGTGGATGGGTTGTTGGATGAAAATAATATTTTATTAGATGTTGTGGGTAAGTTTTAGGGATGGAAATGGTGGAAATTAAAATTTTGGAGATTTCCAAGCTCCAATTTCCTATTCTTGGGTTTTTGGAAACCAACCAAACAGCCACTGATTTGACTAGCAGAGTAAATTTTTTTTAATGAGACTAGAATGATGAGTCTTACCACTTATTGGTCTCTTGATAGTTTAGTTTGCATAAATAAACTGTCATCTCACATCCATTATTTCACTGCAACGGTCACCCTCCTACCTCATATGGAAAGGAGTGGTGATAGGGGCACACTCCCAACCACACCCTCCACCACACCTCCTCTCCCTCTATAGTGCATTGGGCCCCACATCAATTTTTTTTTAAAAAATTTGATATGGAGCCCAATGCACTATAGAGGGAGAGGAGGTGTGGTGGAGGGTGTGGTTGGGGGTGTGCCCCTAACATTTCTATATGGAAAGTAGTAGATGTCGTAGTATAAAGTTTTTCTCAATAAGAATAACCCAACTAAAAGATAGTTAATAACTAGATAAATTTCCCTTTAAGCCGTTGCCATGTTAAAGAAAATAAATAGAGTCCAAAACAGGTGTAAAGTTTTGGAAAACAATCCTTTCCATACCTTTAAAGCTGACGGTTAAGCACGCAAACATCTGGTTCCTAACTAATACAGGTTTGGCTGGAGCTTTGCCTGGATTTGACCCACCACCCTTGACTTGAATAAGATCTATCTAGAGTCAATGATGGGTGGATAAGCCAAATTAACATTCAAGGGTTTGTTCTTATTAAGTTCAATCGTATCTCATCTTGATTAGTTAACTACTTAATGTGATATGGGTTTGGGTTTTGCTTGAGGATTTGGATCCAACAAGATCCAATCATGTTCCATCAGCCACATTCGGCGTATACATCAATTACAACAAAGCATTTATCGTGAGGTTTTTGGATTCTCTACTGGTGTGTTTGGGAGTTTACTAAGGGAAGGGAAGGGAAGGTAAACAACGGGAAGGGAAGGAAAGGGAAGGGAAGAGAATTGTAATATGTTGTTTGGGAGTTGAGTAAGGTGAATGAAGGTGAAAGGAAGTAAATATATGTAAATTTACATAAATGATTTTATACTAATAACACATCAGCCCTTTTATTTGTTTTGATGGGGATAAGAATGTCATTACACCCCTTTACCCTCCTTTACCCTCCTCTACCGCCCAAATCGGGGGGGAAAGAAAACCAAACAATTTTACCCTCCGTTCCCCTTCCTTCCTCCTCTCTACCATCTTTAAAAAAACTCTCAAACAAGGTGAAAGTTGCATTTCTCTTCCCCTCCCCCTCTCTACCCTCCATCCAAACAGAGCAGTATACATGAATCCTATACCTGAATATTTAACAAGTATCTAAATTCATTAATAAAAAAAAGTCAAATCCAACTCTAAATTTTATTTCCAGAGTAGTCAATCTTATTGTATCTACAGTTCAGATTATTATTGAATAAAACAATCAAAAGAATCCAAATTCTTGATTAAATGAGCTCATAGCACCAACTATGTATGCGACACTCCCGGCTCTCCACAAGCCCACCAAACTCCTCCTATAATATTAAATAAGTAAATAAAAAATGCCCCTTCATTCTAATTGCGAGTTACCAAGGTAACACTTTCCTATTGTTCAATTCAATATCTTGGGCATAATGTTAATAGATGCTAGGAGATATCCAATCAACGAGAGGACCTTCTAGTTGTTCAATTAGTCATAATTTTTGCCAAACGCAAGATCACAACAACAAGTAATAGATCCTCAGTGTTTTTGCCTCTTTTCTTATTGAGAGAATTGGTCAACTCCTCCCATTGGATGCCGAAATCTTCTAAACCTTGTGTTTTGTTCTGTAGCAAAGAGATGCTAATCCGAGGAGGGCAGGTGAAAATACAACACAGACAACTATCATTGCAGATAACTTGAACCTAAAAGGCCTGAAAAGAAAATACTCAAAAAGTTCTATTGACATGGAAAGTGGCCTTTGTAATGATTAATGAAGCTGGTTCTAACTAATGCTACCTACGACTGGAGATTCAGTACATTCATCCTGAATATTTGGTGAGCCAATTCATAGGTCATGTAGGGGGCTAACTCATTATGAAATTTTCGGCACTCAGCATCTCATCAAACAACCAGTGGAAGGTCAAAAGACTCAAAACTGAAGATGTATATGTTGAGAGCGTCTTTGGGTTTAAAAATATTAGAATATAAAAATATAACCCTCATCTCATCACAATTTTATGGTGACGAGCTTTATGTTAAAGGTCCATCAGGGGCGGAGTTACATTGAGTCCAATGGGATCCCAGGACCCCAGTAAAATCTAAATATGTATCAGATATTACATATAAAAAACATAAGTGCAACAATGGCCCAGTGGTTTAACACTCCAGGACCCCTATAATCCACCAGAGTTCGAGTCTGCTGGGCTGCATATTTTCACGATTTTTTTGGACCCATATGTGTTTTTAAATTATAGTTTGTCATTAAAATAATTTGTGTGTAAAATCTACATTATCAATAATTTTAGGACCCCATATGTTAAAAATCCTGGCTCCGCCACTGAGGTCCATGCCACTGCATAAAAACTCACTCTGAAGTCAAGGTGATGATTGACCAATTGAGGTTTATATTAAATTAAAAAGAAGGGGAGAAAAAGCCAGAAAGCATGTTATCAGCTTCAAGAGAAATAGTCCAGCTAAGTTGTTCCCAAAGTCTTTACGTATGGGCAAATCACTTGAACATTGTAAATAGTAAATCCATATAGAATTTAAAGACAATAACTATATTCCAAATTTCCAGTATATAAGAGCTAACAGCCAAGACTGAAAAACAGTACAAGTCATGAGAGGATAGTCACCCTTTGAAGTATCTCAGTAGTAGTAATGCCTTCCTATTTCAGTTTAAACTTTAAATCTTACAGTCTGACGGACATCAGGATACTCGTACGCTATTTATTTCACACTTCCATTCATACTTTGCACCAGATAAGGGTGCAAATTTGATAGGATATTTACACTCTGAAGCATCTCAGTAGCAATAATGCATTCCAAGTTTAGTTAAAATCTTACATCGAGGGCATCATAATGCTCACATACTAGTTTATTTCACACACTGATTCGTACCTGCACCGAATCAGGGTGCAATTTTCACAGCAACACTACAGCAAAGCTGTTTCAGGGCGTGGAACCCTTGGTCATCGAGAGATGCCGCAGCCAATCGTTCAGATAATTCTGCCTCTGAGGCACTGTCAAATTCGGATCTTTTGTTGTAGATAAAATAGCCTCCACATTCCCAGGTTGAGAGGTGGCTTCCAGCCGCTGGAAGATGAACCTACATCACAATCACGCCCCAACAGTTTACCATTCCTAGGTTAAAATTAGCATAATATGGTCAATTAAGTCATGAACAGTCATTTGAAACCATGATGGAAGGACGGGGGTTGGGGGGGTGCTTCATTTCCCAAAGTATTAAAATACCAAGTTAGTCATCCCAGTTCGTAAAAGATTAAAGGGGAAAAGATCCTAAAAAGCGCTATAGAATATCACATAGGGAGGAAGGAGAGTCATATCAGTGCAGTCACAACTTCACTGATAGGTAATAGTGACTGCAGTAGTAGACAATAGTGATATCAGTGCACTCAGAACATCATTTTTTTTCCAAGTATTAAGCCGTCAAGTAAAAGATGGGTCCGGAACTAAAACCCTGAGATTGTTTTACCTATAATTTAGATAGTCTTGATGTACTCTCTAGACTGTAGTTATATCAAATGGAGTTAAAGAAAATTTTTACTTGAAAAATGCCTTCTCAGCCTTTTCTTATTGCTTGAGGCCAATAAATTGGTATGGCACATTCTCAATCAATCAAATGGATGTATTGGTCTAAGTTTCTAACATATAAATAATCTCCAAGATCAGACAGAATGCAATGACAATATAATAGTTGCTTGGAATTTACCTGAGGAAACAGGAACACCTTTGTAGCACAATCAGAGACCAGTAAGTTGAACACGACATTGTTGTCTTTCTGTAAAATAGAGCATATTTCTGCTACTAATCCAACAAGTGATTCCAAGTTCTGGCTTGTAAACAGCAATGTCTTAAGAGGATCATATTTCTGCTACTAATCCAACAAGTGATTCCAAGTTCTGGCTTGTAAACAGCAATGTCTTAAGAGGATAATCTGCAAGCTCAGATATGGTTAAGTGATTCCAAGTTCTGGCTTGTAAACAGCAATGTCTTAAGAGGATAATCTGCAAGCTCAGATATGGTTACTCCTTTGTTATCCTTGCAGTCATATACAGTGATAACTGGAAGAAGTTCCACTGGTAAAGGGTTTGCAAAGTAAGCAGCCTGTTCCACAGGTAGCAACAAACTGTCAGGTTATTGGTATAATATTAAAATGCAATAGTCTTTAACTGCCAAAAAGAAAAAGAAAAAGAAAAAGAAAACAGGGAGGGAATTCCTATGATATGGTAAAAGTGTGTATATCATGTTTTGTTGGTCAAGCAAAAAATTACCCAGACTCAGCTTATTCCTATTTCTTACCTGTCCTCAATGCCGTGCTCGGCATTATGAATCCTATAAGAATAGTTTCGTAATAACATCCTATATCATAGAAGGCTTCTTAAAACCCTCCTTAAAAAAATTCATCCTTGTTCTCTTAGGTCTCTCCTTCCACTATTCTCAAAAATCTTTTCTCAGCACAAATCCGAAAAGTGTGTGTTCAAATCAATTAGGAACCCCAAATGCTGACTTCCTTAGTAAAATACATATGAATAGAGAAAATAAACTAACGCGATCAGTAAAATACCTGGAAATATGCATAATCTGGAGTTGTCGAAGAACTGTGCTCAAAAAAGACCTTTAGGGAGCAATTACTGATTTCCTTTGCAAACCGTGAAATCAAATAGAACATCTCCTTGTGCAAAAACTCTGGCCTTCGCTTGGTACCATAAGGAACCAAAAAGATGTGCCCATACTCGACAGGATTCACCTTAAATAAATGATCAGAGTAAATGACAACATGAAGTAAAACACTTCGACATACAATCCCTACTCACGAGCAAAACAAACCTCAACATATACTCACATTAACCAGAATCAAGAATCCATCCATAGGAATTGCAGCCGAAGGAATAAGTTGACTTTGACAACTCTCCTTTTCTCCACTTGCAATGCAAAAGCATAGGAATTGCAGCCGAAGGAATAAGTTGACTTTGACAACTCTCCTTTTCTCCACTTGCAATGCAAAATAGAAGATTCTCCCTACTCTCCTTTTCTCCACTTGCAATGCAAAATAGAAGATTCTCCCTGAGAATTTTCATATGAGTTGGCTTCCCAGGTCCTAATGGCTGGAGGGTATTTTTCTCAAACTCAGCAGGGAAGCTTGAGTTCCATTTATCATTCAACTGAGCAAGCAACTCCTTTTCACCCCCAATGATCTGCACAGACACCAAATATTGAGGCTTTAATAAGAACCGTACTCAAAACAACATTATATCACTACTTAGAATGTATAGTTATGCAAACAGCAAACACCTTTGTTTCACACATTGTCACATCATATTTGAGCAGACCTTTCCATGAACAATCTTCCCACTGCGAGTTACCACCGATAAGACTATCATAAGATGTTCTTCTACAAAAAGTAAAGGTGGAGAGAATTAACGTAAGGTGTACCTCAGAAAGGAGGAGAGCATCTAGTAAGCCCTCATCAGCAGAGACACAATTGCCTTCAGTAGAATTACCAATCAGGTAAAGATGTGTCTTGATACCTGACAGACACCAATTCTCTGGAGTACATTAAGATAAAGCAACAAAATGCTCTCTGAGATGTAATTCAAAAGATTAGCCTGACTTTGAGCTCAATATCAGATAAAGTACTATAACTTGGCATTAAGGGTTATTCATAAAAAGATTAGCCTGACTTTGAGCTCAATATCAGATAAAGTACTATAACTTGGCATTAAGGGTTATTCATGCTATCACATGATAATCAAGTCAATATCAGATAAAGTACTATAACTTGGCATTAAGGGTTATTCATGCTATCACATGATAATCAAGTGAAGGATAAAATTTATTTTCCAGCACTGAATAGATGTTCTCAAAAGAAAGGATTATATAAATGATAGGCCTTAAAAGTATCATCGAAGGTCGATGAAGTGGGCAGCACAAAGTTAACAAGCTTATTTGTGTGCACACAAGCTTACATTAATAGAAGTTAAATCCCTGAGATGATGCCAGAATTCTTGACACTTACCAGATTTTAAATCTCAACTCACTCAAATTCTTTCCATACCTTCCCTTCCCCACTCTTTAGATAATCCACACCAAACCCCTTCTTGTTTTGTTTACAAGAAAACAACATCTCCCATATAACTGAATTTCTCAAGTTTCTCTCTAGTGTAATTGCAGTGCATCCATCTTTGGCTTTCCACTTAGCCAAACATTCACATCACCCTGCAACTTGTAAATATTAAATTATATAAAGCTTTTATTACAGAGTAAAACACTTTAACCCTTGGTTCTTAAGTTTCAGTAACAAGGCACAATTACTCACAGGCCCATCTGGTTTTTATCCAGTATGCTCCAGGTCAATCAGATGTATAATCATCAACAAAGCTATTATTTAAACGCCAGAAACATCTATATTCTCACTTCACTGAAATTCCATAAATTAGTCAACTTTCAATGCTAATACATTATATCCTCCAAAATTCCTACCCTCAGTCCTAAACAGTGGGAAAAAGAAAAACTTCAGTCAGCATTCAGAATTTGGTTTCTAATCAACAGTGGATAAGAAGCAAACACTGAAGTGATTTCAAATCTCATGCAAGAAATAAACTGGCAGTTTCTGTCAGGCTAACAACTACAGTCCAGAATGCATAATTTGTCATTCCCTATGCATGTAAACTTATTAACATATTCTTGTGCAAAGTATTTACTACATGTTCAAGATAGATGATGTATTGTCATTGATTTTTCCATAAGTTTCATTAACAAGACATAATTACAAAAAAATAGGTCCAATCTAGTTCTCCAAAGCGATCTTAAATCTTATAGTAGGAACAATATAGCAGTTAATCTTCACCGAGGAATTACTGTCAATAGTCATCATTCCCTGCCTTAAATGATTTCATTGTATTATTTCACAAACTTTTCTTTCCAATCAGTCCAAAATTACAAGTACTAGCAATAACCTGCTTATAAATTCTACTCTCTCTAAATGTTCTCATTTTGCAGCCAAATTCGAAGAATAAAATTGCTTTACAATTCTAGCAAAGGGCCTAATTGCAAGATCTGTGGCAATTAACACTTATAGCCTTTTTCCTCTACCATATCAATGCAGTGTGACCCAACAAAGCATAGATATCCCAGTCAAGGTATAGCGGATTAATTAGGCAACCCAATCTGTTCATTTTTTATGCATGTACATGTTAAGAGGGAGGAGAGGGAGGAAAAAAAACCCTGAAGCCCCAATCATTGTGTATTTGGCTGAGGCTTCCCCCAGCTCATATAATTGATTCAGTCCTAGAAAAAAGTAACACAGTAAGCCATCATAACCTACAAGCCTATATTCCATGCAGAAATTTCTCAATCAGACATTTACTACTTTAAGTAAATGCCTCATGTACAAGATGTATCCATGCAGTCCCAGAAACAACATGCATTTAATAACTGGCACATCTTCCCAAGTCTCCCTGAGTTTTATGGTCTGTTGTATTCTTTAAATATTACTCTTCCCCCAGCATGGCCCCTATGTAGCACGGACACGGATCCGACACGGCCATCCGACACGCCGACACGAGGCAAATCCTAAAAAATACATAGGATACGTGTGTTCGACACGTGTGTCCGACACGGACACGACACGACACGGCTTCATGTTATGCGTGTCCGTGCTTCATAGCATGGCCCTCCTTCTCTTTCTCATTAGCTTCAAATGTTTCCTTAAAGAATTAAAATAAAATTGTGTAATCTCCATTTAACTATTTTCTTTCCCAGGTTTTAAGGGACTTTCATGAGAAAATATAATTTATTTAAACTAAATGCTATTTAAAATTTATTCTCTGAATAAAAGGATTAAAAAAGAAATTTTATCATAAAAGCTATACTACCAAAATCTCCATCTTTTACAGAAGGCTATCATGCATGTGCATTATTACAGAAAACTGCCATAGATTTCTTTCCAATTTTTCACTAAGCTACCTTCCATAACTGTTCAATCAATAAGTTGAGTTCTAATGAACTTTTAATTGATTGTACAGATTCAGCAGTTTGAAGCAAAAATGCTACTCAACATTCATTGGCCTAAGAGTGGACGTAGGACCAAAGATCCTGAAATCCAAAGTAGTTTCTATAGTAAAGCAAGTGTATGCCGGACATAGCACACATATAAGATGGATTGATTGTGCATGCACAAACACATCATTGCAACATGTTCGAGGACAACAAACAAGAAAGAACATGTTTACAGATACAAGGAAGACAGCTTGTAAAAGAACCAAACCAGTTTATCACTTTATTGTAGTTCCTAAGTAAACTAAGATATATTATTTTTAATCAATATATAGATGGACGTGGAAATGCGGTTTGGTCTCACGTTCATTTAGAGGCAAAACACTCTACCCTAATCTCGATTGGCCTGAGAATGAAGGAGGAAAGATGACGCATCATGATAGTCTATTAAAAGGTTTTTGAGGAAGTTCATGATGGTTTTTACATTAAAGGAAGCATAAGGTTTGCAAAAAAAAGGTTAGAATTCATGGCAATTTCCTACGACCACCCGCTTTCAGTATTTAACACTATTAGCTGATATTGTTTCAACCATGCATATGCATTACTTTGATGTTGGAGTTGGGTCTTGCGATATATTCATGATTGATCCTCATACCTGCTACAAAGCTTCTACAAAATGCAAGCCATAAAGAACATAGAACATTGTCATGCTTATGAAGGGATCAAATAGAAGCATACAATGCATCATCTGGGTATCAAAATTCTAGTTAACAGAATTCATGTAAGTCTATTGAGTTGAATCAAACACTACACTGATCGAAGCACAAGTAAGAGTCTTAAGACTAAGAAAACACTTAGCAAGTAGATCTGATATCTTATTAGATTTTCAAAGCACAAGTAAGAGTCTTAAGACTAAGAAAACACTTAGCAAGTAGATCTGATATCTTATTAGATTTTCTACTTAAAGATTAGAGTTATAAGACTAAGAAAACACTTAGCAAGTAGATCTGATATCTTATTAGATTTTCTACTTAAAGATTAGAGTTACAAGTGCATTATTATGAATGTACACAGAAGCTTATTTTTGTAATAAAACTATCAACCAAGTACATTAGAGTTATAAGTGCTTTATTATGAATATACGCAGAAACTTATTTTGTGATAAAACTATCAACCAAGTACATGATCACTATAAGATAGTGTATCTTGCAAATCACTAATCCAATGTTAATAGCAAAATGCAACATGGAAGAGAAACTAATTGTGGACCAATAAAAAAGTGGTGCTAACCTCTGGGAGGCATCTGGTGGCACTTAGACTGCTCCGACCCAATATTTGACTTGACAAGAAGGTATTCACCATCAAGCTGCTTAAATGACACCATACTTCCAAATTGTTTAAGCACACTCACTATAATAATAACCTACACAATATACTTGCACTCAGACTTCAGCACCACCACCAGCAAGATATGTCAGATCCGAAGGATGCCCACCAGCCGATGGTAGGGCACCCCGACCACCGTGGAAAGAAGGGGACGCAAGCAAAAACTTAGGAAAACCCTGCGAACATTCTCTTCCCCTTCTAATTATAATGCGGGGTTCTTTGCTTAGAGCCGTGGTTGGATTGTTGAAGCCAGCCCTAACCGGACCAGCAATTCTCCAAAAGTACCCACAAATTCTAAAATAATATTCAACAAAATTAGCAGCTCTCAATCTCCCAACTGTCGGAAGTTCCAGTTAAACTCGAGCACTAAGATCTGTGTAAGGAATTAAAGGTGTGTTAGAACATTATCCAAGGAGAGCTTACATTTATTTTGAAAATATGATGGACCACAATTAGATTAGTTTCTTTCAATTATTAAATGGATGTAAATATCTTTTCTTCCTCAAAATGAAAATTTTGCTCAAGTACTCTAACGTCCACAATAATACTTTCAAGGAACATGTTTCAAATGATGATCATTGCTAATTTTTCAATTTCTCCTAAGATAATATTGTAGCTAAAATTTGACTAAATTAGGCCCAAATTCACACAGCAATCAATATCATAGTTATCAGTTTTGGATCAAAAGCTTCTCTTGCTAGAAAAATTCAATTTGACGAAACATTAAGCAATTTATCAACAGAATATACGTAACTCCTATAAAAAAAATTTATCTGATCACAATTCAAGCCAAAAAATAATAATAATCTAGAAATCAGGCAAAATTACAGAATCGCCACTAGACTCTCAAATTCTTGGTAATTCATCTAATATCACGAACAAATTCGGAACTCCAATCCTCAAGATCAAACTCGATCAGATCCAACAAAAACCCTAATTGAGAAGAAAAGCATAGGTTACCTGAGTTCTCGGAGGAAAAAGAGACGAAGATTCCTTCCGAAAACAGAAATGTTATTTTCTTCCCGCAAGCTATTTTTATTTATAGAGAGAGAAGTCGTGGACGCGATTGAATCACATAATAAATAGAGGGACAGGATTCCTTAAACCCAGGATTTGACCCAAAAAGGATGGTCCTTTATCTTAACGATAAGGTTAGAGGGAACATATGAGATGCGGTTAGAATTGTATGTTATACTGCGCACATGTATGTGGGTGTCTCCTCAGTTTTTTAATTATTACTATTTTGAATTTTTCTCAGTTTGTTTTATTTTTTTAATTTAAATAGTATAGTGGATGAGCTTTGTAGGAGAGCACATCTATTTTGTTTTATATTTTTTAATTTTTTTATTGGCTGGAAAATACTAAAATGACGTATATAACAATATAGATCTTGAATAATTAGAATTTTTTAAATGAATAAATTGTACGATAAAATTGCGTGTAAAGAACTGTATGACTGATTATTATAATTTAGATAATTATTATAACTAGTATAGTGCACGTGCGATGCACGTGTAAGCACTTTCATGTGTAAGCACAGAGGAGGAAAGCAACAGTTCAAGGGCCTGATAATATGAACTTTGACTGATGTTTATGAAAGCTTTAAGCTCAGTCACCTGTTTATCAATTTCTCAAATCTGGTTGCTGTAACTTTCAACAATACCAATTACGAATGGAGGGAAACTTTTTCCTTTTAAACTACAATACAAAGTATAATAGCATAGACATTCTGCAGAAAGCATATATAACTATGTACATAACTAAAAATGAAAATGAGATGAAGCTAGCTTATCATCTGCAGTCGAGGTCATATGATATTCATCATTGACGAAGAATAAGACGACCTTATTAGAGCACCGATGTTGGAGCTACATCATCTCGCTCCAATAGTCCACAAAACCGTTGTCATCAAGGTTGGTCGATACGCGAATTTGAAAAATGGTTGGGTTTGTCGGCGCGAAAATGATAGATTGTTTCAGCAAGCTATGTTTTACAGGAGAGATATCGGTACTCTTTGTTTTGGCAAATGGATTATTGAGAAGGAGGCAGCGATGGGGGAGTTATATATTGTGGAATGTAGAGGTTATGATATGGAGGAGATAAAGAGAGTTTTGATTTGAATGAGGAGTTAAAGAAGATTAATAGTGTCGTATATTGGTTGAGAAGGAAAATTATTAAATGTGTCTTTTGTGCTTTTAACCATTGTGTATTCACCTTAAATTCCTCTATTGAGGAAAATCAAACGCAATCCCGTTGAAGAATGGCTCAATATAATTCCTCTAACATAAGTTTTCCAAGCTTACTTGAATATTAAATAATTTACAGATCATTGCAGTGCTCTTTATGCTTTAGTATTTTAGGACATTCATCCTATTATGTTCAAATTATGTGAGGCAGAAATAAGACTTAATTTTTAGTTTCTTACTTTATTTCCTTACTTTTGCTATTACCATAACCGAATTTGATAATGGAAGGTTACAAAAGTTTAAACAACATTTAGTACATAATTAAAAGTGCATTTGTTTCGAGTTTTAATTTATTGTTATTATCATAACCGTTATATTTAAATATTGTGATTACCATAAAATAAAAACCATTTATACCACGTTTATGACTTTTAAAATAAAATAATTTGTGAGTTATGAGTATGCATTTAATTGGGGTTATGACTTGCACGTTTATGACTTTTAAGATAAAATTATTTGGGAGTTAAGAGTATGCATTTAATTGGGGGTTATGCTATGATTTATGTATGGATGCATGTATTTTATGTATTATGAGTATGCATTTAATTTGGGGTTATGCTATGATTTATGTATGTATGCACGTATTTTACGTATGTATGTATGTATATGTTTTAAAGGGCATTTTCGGAAGAAATGTTTTAACATCCCAATCTACTTTTATAATAGTATTAGATTTATTCATAATTTATTAAAATAATTATAATATATTAAATAATTTATTCTCTTTTAAATACAATAATATTATACATAGCATAATTATAATACTATCAGCAACTACATTTTAATTTCATAATTAGTTTATCACACCATTAGTAAATAATTTACTAAATTGTACAATTATTGAATTACAAAGTAAATTATTAATTTTAAAAATACTATTAATATTATTATACTATTAATACTATTACAATTATAATAAATAGAAATTGTTATTCATACTATTGTCATACTTTCAAAAGGCTAATAAGATAAAAGGTAACATGCGGTCCTACATAAGACATGAAACTCAAATGCATAAGGCATAAGCCTAATGAATTTTTCTTTATTTTTCTAAAATTTTAAATATTTTTATTTAAAGATACATTAGGAATAAATTTCAACTATTCTATCAAATAACATAATTATATAATAAAATAATAGTGTGCCCAAAGGTTTTGAAAAAAAATAAAGAAATGCATAATTAATTAGAGGTTATATATAATTAGTGAATGATTAATTACAACTAATAACATATTTGAGAATTATCAAACTTAAAAGGAAAAAATTAGAAATCAAAATTTTTGACAAGGCAATCTTATTTTATATGTAACGTAGATATAGATAAAATATAGATTATTGTTGGTAGTTTTACATTGATGGCTAGTTGAAATTTTTTTTATCCTTTTTGGCTGAGATAATATCATACTAGTTTTCTGTTGCACGCGATGTGTGTATGATAAGTCAAATTTGTGCGTAACGAAATAGTATCATTAACCCTTCACTGATGTTAATATAAATAGGTATATAGAAAAACGACTTCGTCATTTTTGGATTTTAATAGAAATGAAATCCACATGAAAAAGGTGAACCTGCAACCAAGATGGAGGATGTAGGATTTAATTGGAATCTGGTCACGATGTAGGTTGAGGGTTTGCGAGTTAGGATCTCTTTTGCTATCTTACGATGGAGTCTTGGAGGGGGCGATTGTTTTTTGCTTTTTTTTAAGAGGAGAAAATAACTTAAAAAAAGAAGTGGGAGGTTTAGATTTTTTTTGTCAGCACTTCGAAATGCAAGGGTTCTGGTGAGAATGCGAATGTAGTTTTTATTATTTGATTTTTCTTTCTTCTTGCAATTTTAACCCTTTAAGAAGTTTTAAAGCATTTATAAGTATTGAGGAATGAGGACATGACTTGAATTTTTTCGAATTCTTGATACACGAAGGAATAGAAGTGTAGGAAAAAAAATCTAGCTTTTTTTAAATAACTAGCATTTTATCATGTGATAAGCACAGTCATGTTAGGAATTCACGTCGAAACCGTTAAGATAGCAGAAACGCAGTATAGAGAAAATACACCAAGATTTAACGAGGTTCGGCAACTGCCTACGTTTTCGGGAGTCACACAGTAAATTTCTTATTAACTAACAAGAAATTACAAGCAGATCTCAAACTTGAGATCTCTTAATAAATACAATAATTGTTACTGTAGCTACAGTGAACAATTCCCTATTTAATTCTCTCTTCTATTTAATATCTCTCTTAATTCTCTCTCTCTTTACTTATCACAATAATTTCCTCCCCTTTTAATCCCGTGAGCACAGGAGAAGAGAGAGAGAGAGAGAGAGAGAGAGAGAGAGAGAGAGAGAGGGGAAATATGGAGAACCTTGGTACTAAGTTTCTCCATTGAACTTGGTACCAAGGTTCTCCATTCAAGACCCTACATCATGCCTCGGAGAGAGAGCCTCAATTACTATTCACCTACTTTAAAAAAGAGGCTCCATCTCCGAGGCATGATGTAGGGGCTAGATTTGGCCACCTCACTACCAAGTTCAATGAAAGAACTTGGTACCAAGGTTCTCCATATTTCTCATATATGAGAAATATGGAGAACCTTGGTACCAAGTTTCTCCATTGAACTTGGTAGTGAGGTGGACAAATCAAGACCCTACATCATGCCTCGGAGAGAGAGCCTCAATTACTATTCACCTACTTTAAAAAAGAGGCTCCATCTCCGAGGCATGATGTAGGGGCTAGATTTGGCCACCTCACTACCAAGTTCAATGAAAGAACTTGGTACCAAGGTTCTCCATATTTCTCTCTCTCTCTCTCTCTCTCTCTCTATATATATATATATATATATATATATAATATATATGAGCAAAAATGGAGAACTTGGTACCAAGTTGCTCCAACAACTTGGTAGTCGATGTGGCCTAAAGTTTTGGTCCCTACATCCTACATTGGAGTTGGTGCAAGGGTGCGCTGAGGCTTCTATCTTCCGAGGTGTGATGTAGAAGGCAAGATTAATGGCCACATCACTACAAGTTGCTGCCAAGGGCAACTTGGTAACCCAGTTTCTCCCATTTCTCTCTCTCTCTCTCTCTCTCATCTCTTTCTCTCCTCCTCTCTTCTCTCTCGTCTGCTATAATATATATAGTATATCATATATATATATATATAATAGGTATATATATATTACTATATAATAAGATTAATGGGGTATGCCTTGCATAGGAGGAAGATTTCCCCTCCTTGTTGCCTATGTGACACAATCCTCGCACATCCTCTCAAAGTAGCACAAAATCTCCACCAACTCACACGTGCTCTCATCCTACTTTATGAGATCGGTGGGGATTGTGCCACATATGTGTCAAGGAGGAAATCGACCTTCTATGACAAGGATACCCATTACTCTCTCTCTCTCTTCCATAGTATTATATATATATATATATATATATATATATATATATATATATATATTAAATATATAATAATATGGGTTTACTGACGGGTCGTTGTTGAAGGTTGACATTGATGTGTAGCACAAGATTCAAAGATAGCATGATGTGATAACAATCTCAAAGCATAATGAAGGGATAAAAATTTGGTTGACAAGTCCTGCCCATATCTTAGCTTAAGTTTAATAGGGAGCTTTTTCTCCATCCCTCTCTCCTCTCGTCTCTCGTGCTCTCTCTCTCTCTCTCTATATATAATATAATTATTATATATATTTATATGATAATATATATATATATAGATATATATATATATATCACACCACACCAAGCACACACACACACTACAACACTCGGTCCAGTGACTGCTGAAATCTACTGATACGCCTGAAAAACGCTATGGTATTATTTCATAGCGTTTTAATCAACGCTGTGTCAGAACCCGCTATAGTAGGTCTATTGCTTTACATAGCGTTTCCCCAAACTCTATCAAAAAGTTTCCAACCATAGCGTTTTTATGTAGCTATAAAAGAGTATTCAATAGCGTTTCTATATTGCTATGACAAATATCTTTCATAGCGGTTGAAAAACGCTATTAGTTAGTTTTCATTCATAGCATTTCAACGCTGCTATTGTCTTACTTTTGATAGCGTTTGAGTTACTACAATGGCGTTTCAACGAATGTTGTCTTTCTTCTTTTAATAACATTTCATTAATTGTTTCCACTTCTTATAGCATTTCAGTTGTGCCTATAAACCTTTGAGGTTGAACTAGAAATAACTTCCAATTGTGACAACCATAAAAGAAAATATTTCATTTAAAGGTTCAAACTGATACATAACCAAGTTGTAGCATACAAGAAGAGTCAACACAAATGTGCCAAAAAACAAATACTAGTCTTTGGATAATCCAACATGGAGTACAAGAAATTAACCATAGTACACAGAACAACAAAAATTAACTTTGCTGCATTACATATGACTTGGGAGACTCATCATCTTCAGAAATTGAGTACTAGTACTGCTGTAAAAATAGAAATTAACAACACCAAAATTACAACTATAACAAACATGAAAAAGTAAAAACACACGATTGCAAGATGTATAACTTACCAGCTTTTTAAAGCATAACAACTTTGTCTGATGGCCAAGCTATTGTCGTACCAACGACATCTTCAATTAATTTTGCAATGTGCATATATTCTTCTCTCATTTGATGTTGGCAATGCCTGTAGTTTTGCAAACAGGACACAAGTTTTTCATCATCAGCCACTGTTTTACGCAAGCAACATAACTTTCCCTTATGACTTACCTCATAAGACATTATCAACATCAAGCCTCATATCTCTATGCCTGTCATATAATAACACTCTTTGTACAGCCTGTTTGAAAATTTTATGTTAGTTTCTACTACGCAAAGGGACGATGACCATACAAAACCACTAAGGGGGTCAATTTCGACGTGAAATGCTATGGTCGATCATAATACTGTCCATTGAAAAGCTCCATACGAGAGTGTATGATAGACTCCCAAAAAAATAGAACTACTAGGAAGACACACATTCATTTATAATCAGATCCGAACATTGATACATAACAGTAAGACATAAGACCTAGATAGAAAATTGACATCTATGTGTAAATCTTCCCCTCTTCGTGCAAGCACATCACGTATCTGTTACAACAAGAGATGTGAAATATGGAACTATTAGATCCATAATATTGTTTAAGACAAACTGGAAATGCACATGCAATGTAGCAAGAACTAGAACTATCAATATGATTTTTTAGGCCTTCCACTAATGAGAAGTTAAGAATGAAGCACATTGACCGTATAAAATGCACGACCGTTTGATGATGTATTAGAAGAAAGAACATATATATTTAATACTATGCACAAAAACAGTTTATAAGCTTTCACTAAACTATAATTGGTGGGATAAATAAACCAAAAGCAAGAAACTACAAGACTTACTCTCATGGAGTGCATAAATCTTATGGAGAACCATATAGAATGTATCAAAAGATATGGGGAACTATATTAAAAAAATTGACATATTTGTAGTTACAAAAGTGTAAAACATCAGATTGATTCAGAGGCTATGCATAACTGTTGGAGAAAATGAAGACTAAAAATTGGCATGCATTGCCAAATAAGAAAGATGATTCTGAACTCTGAACCAAAACAATAGACAAACTAACATGCGTCTAACTAGCTTTAGTCATCTAATAAGTGTGATCAGTAAAAAAGAAAAATCGGCCAGCCTTTTAGATGAAAGTCTGCAAAGAGGGTTGAAGGATAAGCATTCATGGTGTGTGTACATATACACATGGATATGTGTGGGTTGTGCGTGCATATACATATACATGTGTGACTTCAATGTATTGTGCGCAGAATGTGACATGTATTCCACAACCATTTTTAAATCAGTGCAAGCAATTAAGATATCACTGCAAACAAAATAATGAATCTTGTCCAAGCAAGACATAACACAAACCAATGAAATTCCCAAATCTGCTGGTACCCACGAAAACCTGTCCTTCCTCCCTATATAATCCTCAATAGGGGCTGTCTATATGATTTTTGGCGATAAAGATGGTAAATTTTTATATAGATAAATGTCCTTATTCTCTTATTCAAAGTGGATATACAGTAAGACGCTTCAAGAAGTCAGATAACCAAATGAGATTTTGTAAGGCTCTTGAAAATGAAATCCATGGCTACATTTTTTTCATATGAAATAAGTATTTCAGAAATCCTCGGAAAACAAATGTTAGTCTATGAACAGATGTTAGAAACTTCATGTACTAAAAGAATAACAATAGTTCTCAAAAAAGAAATCATGGTGAAAAGTAACAAGAACATGTAGATAATAAAGTTCAATAAAACACTACTCAAATTGCAACCCTGAGAACCAAGACCAATTGAATGCACTGGATAGTTGTATAGAGTATTAAGATCAGCTAAAAACAAGGGGAAAAAAATTATCCACTAAGATGGATGATGAGTTTCAAGAATTCAAGTAAACTTTTAGCTTAAAGACCATAAAGACATATAGGTGACAGAAATTCAGTACATACTGTAGATATGCATCAAAGGGAGCCTACACCAACAAAGGATCAGTATCTGTTCTAGTTGGGTTCAGCTGAAAAAGAAGAGGAAAAACGAGAAGAAGAAGAAAGTAGCAATAGCACTAATAGTAACAGGCAATGCATAATAATTCCAAAAGCTCTTTTCCTCTAACACACAGGACATTAAAATGATAGTTTCCATTCTCATAGAAAAATAACAAAGAAAATAGTTTCACAGTAAGGATATTTTCAATGTCAAAATCAATAGCAAGGCACGACTCAATATCCATCTGAAATATAAATGATAAATGGTTAGCAAGATGAAATTTCATAACTCTATTCTACCTGATACATGTCAAATAAGTAATCTTGATATATCAAGTTTCGAACAAACAGAACGCCATTAAAATTTGACAGGAGAATATGAAAATAGTAAACATAAGGACTGAAACGTATATGAAGCAATTCACAACATCCAATATAAAGCAAAATGCTGATTAAATTTTATTTTCCAGTTTTGCAGGCAGGATGACACTATCAAGATTTGTTCATATAGTGTCAATTTTAATTATTCTATATCAATAACAGTACCAATAAATCAGCCAAATCAGTATAACAGTGTTGCAATGATGTAATATTTCCTTGAAAGGGGTTAACTGTACAATGATAGTGCCATTATACAAAATTGGTGCAGTTTAAATCAAAGGTATTCAATTGATACTAAAGGAAGTAGTATTCCACATGTTTTCAATCAAGAATTGATCATGTGTAGAGCCATTTACAATCAAAAGGAGGAAATGGACTATACACAAATAAGAAATTAAAATTGAGTGAAAAGTTGTCCTCATCCTCGTGAAAATGAACTATACACAAATACATAATTCTATACACAAATAAGAAATTAAAATTGAGTGAAAAACTGTCCTCATCCTCGTGAAAATGAACTATACACAAATACATAATTCTCACAACAGAACTCTAATGTTGCACAAAAAAAAAACATTTAAGAAAAGAAAATTAAAATATCCACCTCTGAAATAAGCTTGAATGCCACTTCGGTACACAAATAAGAAATTAAAATTGAGTGAAAAGCTGTCCTCATCCTCGTGAAAATGAACTATACACAAATACATAATTCTATACACAAATAAGAAATTAAAATTGAGTGAAAAACTATCCTCATCCTCGTGAAAATGAACTATACACAAATGCATAATTCTCAAAACAGAACTCTAATGTTGCACAAAAAAAAAACATTTAAGAAAAGAAAATTAAAATATCCACCTCTGAAATAAGCTTGAATGTCACTTCGGCTTTTGGATGCCTGTTCTTATCTGGATGAAGCTGCAATGCTGTAGAAATTTTACAAAGAGCTAGGAAATAAAATACTCACTCTTAGAATAAGATACCAATTAATGAATCCAGGCTTCTGGGTCGAACTCCGATTAAGTGGAGGAGAAGGCCAAATTAAGTGACGATTAGGTTTTTGATGGAAAGGTGGATTAGGGTTAGGGTTTTCACCGAAGAGGAGGAGGGAGCGACAGAGCTTTGAGCGGCGGTCCAATCGAGCGGTTGGTCTACTACTGAAGGAGGAGGAGGAGCTCGAATCAGGGTTTTTAGGGGAGAGGAGGAGGTGGCGAGAGAGCTCTGACGATGACGACGACGACACGAGGAGGAGGGCGACGATGGTTTTGGAGACGAGAGAGGGAGTGAGGGCGGACGATGACGACGACGACACGAGGAGGAGGGCGACGATGGTTTTGGAGACGAGAGAGGGAGTGAGGGCGCCCTAGTTTTGGCGACAAGACAGGGAGGGAGGCGGCGAGAGAGCTCTAACGACGACGACGAGAGTAGATGGCTAGTTTTGGCGACAAGACAGGGAGGGAGGCGGCGAGAGAGCTCTAACGACGACGACGAGAGTAGATGGGCGGCGCTAGTTTTGGCGAGAGAGAGGGAGGGAGGGCGGGAAGTGCTGCTTTTGGCGACGAAAGAGGGAGGGAAGGCTCGACACAGGTTTTGGCGACGATAGAGGGAGGGAGGCGGCGAGAGAGCTCGAACGAGGATGAGAGGAGGAGGGCGACACCGCTGGCCAGTTTTGGCGAGAGAGAGTGAGGGAGGGAGCGAATTGCAGAGATCTAAGGGAGAGGGATCGAAATAATTTAGGGTGGCGAGAGAGAGTGAGGGAGGGAGCGAATTGCAGAGATCTAAGGGAGAGGGATCGAAATAATTTAGGGGAAAATAAAATTTAGGGCTAGCTACGGGGGCGGATTTTCAGTCTCCCGCTTAATTTTTTAACGCGTCAGAACAAAAAAAATTACGATCAAATACTTATAGCGTTTAAAAATTTTCAAACGCTATCAAAAAATAAAGCACATAGGATCTATAGCACTTATAACATAAACGCTATCATTCAATGCTATAAAAAAACAGCTTTGTTGTAGTGAAAGGGTTGAGAACTAAATATGCGTTGTAAATCAAGATTTTAATTAAGTTCATAAAATGTAATTAAATAGACTGATCGATTTCAAATGACTCGAGAGTAAGTCTCACATGTTCAAGACGATTAGATACGGCAGTCATAGCAATAGCATCATTAGAAGTATAATTTTTTCCTCAAAACGGAACCTTTTCTCTGCCATCTATTTTATGATAGTCCTTGTTCTGCATCCAAAAACAATTACAACGTAAAAAATTCAAGTTACTCTAAAAAATTAATTTTTTTTTGTATACATGTATAGATAATCGAATGCAAGAACAACAGTTTTATCACTAGAAGAAAATATCCATAAAAATGCATGTATATATTAACCAAACAATCAGTGAATTAAAGTGCAATCTATCCTATTAATTGGACGCAAAGAATAAGAAAAAGTACATATGTACCAGAGTGGTTCGTTTCCCTGTCTCTATGCCATCATGAACTCCTCCGTTGCCGCAAAGGGCAAGGTAAAGGAAAATAAGCCCTACACTGTAGAACCGTGTGAATGCCATTTTGTTTATTTTGTCGCTTGAGGACAATGGTTAAGGTCATGGTGATGGTATGCAATCCTTTAAACGGATGAATACATATATGGTTACTGCATGATTTCCATTTTTGGACAAGGGGTTTTTTTTTTCTTCTCCCTTTTTCCTTTTTCCTTCCATGCTTAGCTGTTGAATCATTAATACGCACATTTCTTTCCATTTCTCATGAAAATAAATAAGGAATGAAATATATTTGTGTGGAAGCTAGCTAGTTCAAATTAATTAGGTCAAGACGTATCCTTTAGCTCTTCAAATCTGCCAGCTTATTATGCCAAATTTTGAGGGGTCGATTAATTGGGCTGGTGTGATGATCACGGTTTCTGCAGCTGGCTAGCTAGGGCGTAGGTCTCGTAGCTAAGAATCATGATTTCTGGTTCAGAAGACTTATTATAGTATTACTTCAGTTCAGTTGGCACTCCACTGCCCTCATCTTGCAGCATCCCGATCGATTAACCTTTACCTGCTCTGTAGCTTCTCTTCCTTCTTCTTCATCTTCATTCTTGATCAATTCATTCACGCGCAACTAATGGCTTCTTCAGGAGCCCCATCCTCTGCTCCTCCGCATTCACCTCCGCTCGT